AGTCAGATTATGATTAATTTTTCTGCAACTAAAAAAATGATTAAATGCTACCCAAAATCCCAAAATTAAGTGTGTCATTTGTAAGGGCTATGTGTTCCCCTTTCTCATTCCTATCTCTTTGTACCCCTGAAAAAACTCAATCAAAAGCTTCCTATACTGTAATAAAAGATTCACTATTCAGATTTGTTCATCCTTAAAAAATTGTTAAGTACCTGAGAGTTGTAGTACTCAATGCTGAGGCAACTTAAAAGAGGATCCTAAATACACTAGTAAGAACAGAAAATTGACCTTCAACTCCTTGAATAAATATGGCTGCCATCTCTTAACACAAGTGAATTTGGGTTCTCTTATTCTATTATATAAGTTATGTTTTTAGGAGGTTTGTAGTATATTAGTAGGCACTATTTGTACATCCTTCCAAGTACTTTGTGCACTGATATCATGTGACTGCTCTCACATTGTTTCCTAATCATTTGTACTTTCTCTTATTTTAATTACATTTATAAATGAATCTATATATTGATTCTTACTTTAACAATTAGACACTCACAAATTACTTATATCTTCTTGGTACTTAATTTCCATGCACATCTTCTATTTTCTCTTTCGGTTGTAGGATGATTCCAACCTATCCTGAGGGAACTTTTGTCCATATATCCTAGATTGGAGTTTTTGCATAGCACACCTAAATTTCAAGAAAGATATAGTTCAGGTGTAAGTAACTAGGTTCAAAAGTATTATTGTATTCAAGGATGCTATGTAATGCAGGTTGCTGCTAAGGGAATAATGTTAATATAATGTACAAAGTTGTATTGGTCTGAGTAGATGGGGCTTAGATCCCTTAAGGATGTGGTCTTGAATCCAATCAAGATGCATTAGTGTGCAAAAAAATTTTAAGCTTATGTGGAGGTCTATTTAACATTAGATATTGATATAAGCTTTGTATCTTGTTTTGTAATTTATGATTAACTTTTTTTATTTAGACACTTTGGCAACATCTCTAGTCTAACATTTTTGCTATGAAATCAATGTTATGTTATATATTTTCATTAGTAAAATATATCCTTTGAATATAATTTTTTAGCCCATAAAGCCCTGACCCTAACCCTAGCCCATAGGGCTTTTTGGCCCATAGGGCCTTTTGGCCTTAACCCATCTGGGCCAGGGTTAGGGCTGGGCCAATTAGGCTTTTTGATAGCTCTTATTTTTTCAAAGGCGTTATGGTGGTTATTGCTCTAACAAAATGTGTTCCCTTTTTGCAACAAACCTTTTAGTGGATAAATTAATTATGCTAGCCTGGAGATAAAACGTCTAATGTACCCCAATTTTTCGAGGAATCCCTACATTTCTTTTACACTTCTAGGGAGTTTCATCTTTTGGATGGCTTCTATTTTTTCTTCATCTGTTGTTACCCATTCAGATGTACTTTAAATCCTAAGAACTTTCCTGTAGATATTGGGAATAAGCACTTCGTAGGACTCATTTTTAATTGGTATCTCTTGCATTTCTTAAACACATTTTTAAGGTGAAGAACATGTTCCTCTTTTTCTTTGAATTTAACCATCAGGTCATCTACATAATCTTCCACAAAGTCATATATTACATCATGAAAAATGGCAGTCATAGCTCGTTGATAAGTGGCTCCTACATTTTTTAGCCCAAAAGGCATGACCAATAGCAAAAGTTTCCCCACAATAGTTCAGAAAGCGATTTTTTCTTCATCTCTAGCACCATCTTAATCTGGTTATATCCGCTAAAACCATCCATAAATGAAAATCTTTCATGCCCAGTAGTTGCATCCACCATGGCATCTATATGGGGTAATGGAAAATTGTCCTTAGGGCATGCTCTATTAAGATCGCGAAAATCCACATAACATCTTATTTGTCCATTCTTCTTTTTCACTGGAACAATGTTGGACAACTAGGTAGGATGTTGTATTGGCCTAATGAATCATGCGTCTAACAGCCTTTGCACTTCTTCTTTGACTTGTTGCTCTATCTTCTCGAAGATTTTTCTTGGTGGTTGCTTTATTGGGGTTGTCCCTAGGTATACTGCTAGGTTGTGGGTAACAAGCGATGGGTCCAAACTAGGCATTTCTCCTTTTCTTTAAGCAAAGAACTTATGAGTAGCAGTCTAGGTTTTTTTCCTTCATTAGCCACATTTACTTCTTCTATTCTCTCTTCATGTTTCTTGTGACTTTCTTGCTTGTTAGGAAATATTTCTTCTTGTGTTTTCTTCAATGTTTCTTTCTCTATAGCATTTGCTTTGTTGAGGATAATGGAATTGTTGTTTTCCATTAGTCCCTCGTCTTCCTATAATATCCTCCACCTTACTATGCCGCTCAGGAGACGTTCCTTTACCCATCCTCTTCCATTGATTTCGTAGCACGTTGGTGTTTGTCTTTTGTCTCTTTCTTTTGCTTCTTGCCTTTCTTTTCCTTTTGCTTTGTCTAACTGCACGCTTTCTATCTTTCTTATTTGATTCACCCCATGCGAAGCCAATTCATCAAATAACCTTACATCCACCATGTGTATTTCGGATACATCAAAAGGGACTTTTGTTGCCATAATTTCAATCTCCTTACCTTTGAAATTTGACTTAATACATTGATGTAATGTGGACGGTATGCAACGATGTACATGAATCCAGGGTCATCCTAACAGGATGTGATATCTAGGCGTCCCTTCAACAAGTTGAAATGTATTTGCAGTCTTCATGGGCTCTACTTCATGTTATACAGTTATACTTCCTTTAGTGGCTAAAGCTCCTCCATTGAAGGCAGTGAAAAAGACATTATTTTGTTGTACACACTGACTTGACAATTCAAGAGCCCTGAAAGTGTGCATGGGCATTATGTTTACTCCAGACCCATTATCCACCAAGGCACGCCTCAACTTTGTTCCTTCCACCTTTTTGCTTCAATGTACAGTCGGTGAATATGAACAAACCCCCCAATTTCTTGTATGGCTTCGCAGCAAATAGGTCACCTCCTTTCTTTTTTATTATATTTGTCAATATCTTAGCTGCTTTTTCTCTCACTCTATCATCCAGCTACATTTAACCAAAAAATATTTGAAAGCTTTTTGTCTTAGTTAATCCTTTCGCTAAATCATCAATTTGTTTTTCAGGTTTTGTCCTATGTTCTTGACTTTTCGCAATGATTGCATTTATTCCATGATTAGGAAGAGGACGATGGCTAAAATTGCCTCCTCCATTTTGTTTAGCAAGAGTATATTTCTTTCTTTTAGTTGCTCTTTGAAGATCCTTCTTAGCACAAAGGAATAGAAGAAAAGGAATATTATTGATAGATAACAATTGTTACTGCCTATTGATTTGTTATAAGCACATATTTATAATTGTTTACATGAATACAAACAAAAATACATTTTAATAACATGGGTACAAAATAAGGTCCCTTTATACATATTTGGGTAACGATTTCAATCTTTTAATCAAAACATGTTACTTATAACAAGCTACAGATATTCCTTTAGCTTCTGATAAACCGTATGTTCTTTTGCTCTTTGCTGAGGATGTATTCGGTGAAAGCTTAAAAGTTAGTCACCTATGTTAGGTTGAACTTTCAAGTGACTTTTCGAGATAAGCGTCTAAGATACCTTGAGGTTTTGTCTTACTACAACTAACGTCCCTCCTGCAATGTTTCAAAGCTAGCATCGCTTGCTAAGTCTCTTTGTATTTTTTGAGTTCTTAAAATTTTGCTTTTTTGTTGTTTTTCCTTGTTGGCTTAGACACCAATTTGTGTGTTTGCATAATAGCAGTGTTCTTGTTGGGCTGCTTTAACAAAAATAATTGTGTTTTTGTAGATATTATATTTGAGCTAGATGTTTAAAACAATCCATTATACTTCAACATATTTTAAAGTACCAATAGACTTGCAAGTCTTTAAGATGTAATATTCATTCACCTGTTTTAATAGGACTGCCTCTAATATTTGGCCCTAATTATGGATATTTTAAGTTTTTAGACCTTTTAAGAACGGTAAATTGATATCTCTTATAATTTAAAAATCAAAATTAATATTTAAAATCTTTGAAGGCCAAGTTGTGGGACCGATTTCCAGTATTTATAAAAAGTAAAATTAACAACCGCTGATATAGTAAAGAGCAACATTTGAATCTTTGCTACCTTTGTTAAAGATTTCCAGTCTCGTAAGAATTGAAAAATAATTCTTGTAGAAAAGGAAAATATAATTCAATACCATTATTATTAGACACTTTAAAGATTGAAAAAGAACTAACATAATGTATGGTTATGGTTAAATGTGCAGAGGATTGCCTCTAGCTAGCATTTGTTAACGATAATGGAAAGGTTCCAATATAGTTTAGGCCTCCAAAAATCGAACCTTCCTAAGTTGTACCGAACACAATAGATAGGTTCTATTCCTTCATCAAATTGTATTGCTTTTCCTGTTCTTATACATGCAAAGTTTCGAATGGAAAGGAGATGAAATTAAAATAATTGTCACACTTATTCAATTTAATTTTATAATTCCATTTTATAAAAAAATTAAAAAGTTTTATCGATTATCAATTTAACTGGTTTTTAAATAAAAAAAACATTTAACTGAAATAATAATAGACACATAAAAACAATAATGGATACATAAAATAAAAATAAAAACAACAATAAACTAATACGCCACGTTTCTGTTGTTACGGCCTCATCGTGATGAGCTTGTGTTTATTCATTTGTTTGATCTTATCCCTATCTCTTCGCCTTCTATATACAAAATACTTCTCTTATTTCTTCTTATTTATCTACTTATAAAAAGCACAAAAATTAAAAAATATAATTAGCGTTTTTATCTATATTAAAATTATTTTCTATATTTATTATTTCCCGTTTTAATAAAAGTTTAAAATGCTTAATAATTATTATATAAAGTAGAAATGTAATTAAAAATCATATTTTTTAATACCTTTGAATCAATCAATAAATAAAGGGAAAATGTCCATTTGAATGAACCCACATGAGATAAAGATAATAGTCAAGGTGATTTCCTTTCTCATTTTGAAAGGAACCCTTCAGAATTTTACCATGGTGAACATGCGCAACGCATAACATTACAGAGCACCATTCCAAAATCGAGAAAAAAAAATCCTAAGAAACGCCATCCGAATTTCCCAAATTGTGGCATAGGAATGCCCTCTTGGTTTCTCTTTCACCACACAAATTCCCAATTCTGACTTTGTTTTCTCTCTCACACTCGTTTAAATCTGCAATTATTTTTCTTAAATTTCAAGCATGTCCGTAGTTGGTTGAAGCATTGTGCTCTTCATCGTACCGTTTTTTTTTTTTTTTAATGTTTTGGGTTTGTGTCCTATTCCGATGAATTATGTAAGAGAAGCTGCGCATGTCGACCCCATTTCCGTAGTACATGGCTGCTGCTGACAACACCAACCCAAAGGTATTATAAGTAATCGCAAATTTTATCTTCCTCTCGCGTGATTTCTTTATTGCGTATTGATTTATGGGAATTTCTGGGACTAAGTTAAATTTGACCTAAATTTATTTCTAATTTGTGATTATAAAACTTCGGATCTTTAGATGAGTTCAGTTCTCTCTTCTTTTTTCCATACCCTTCCTGCATTGGTGAAGAAGTGGACTGGGTAAAAGGAAAGTCATGTATTTAAGTAGAATGTAGTTTGGAGTTGAGAGGAAGAGAGAATGTTCAGTAAAAGTCCCGAAATGTGATTGATATATATTGTAGTTAGGCTTCTGGCAGATTGAAGTTGTGGGTGTCACTGATCTGGGAAGTGCTCGTTAGGTTTACTATTCAACAATTAATTCTTGTATTTTTTTATTTTTTTTTAAAGAACACACGTTTCAATAAACTGTGATTAAGAACAATTTTGGCACATATCCCGATTCTATGCAATGGTTCAAAATTAATTCCACTTAATTTTAGGCCAAACGAGTCCTAGGGTGCATTTGAATATACAATTTATTTAAGTGTTTATTCAATAAACTCTTTTAAATGATGACTTATGCCATAAATTTAACCGTGAAATTTATTGGAATAAGCTGAAAGTAACTTATTTTAATAAGTTATATGAAGAAACTTATTGAAATAAGTTGAAAAAACGAATGAGAGTCATAAGTTGTTTCTATAAACTCTCCATAAGCTCTTCCAAACAAGTTGTTTAGGTTTTTGTATAGTTATTGATTGGTTGATACTGTGGTTCATATTGCTCTGGAGCATTTTCTGAAATCTGTCTCTGGTATTGTCAGCGTGACACAATCTTTCTGGTGGAATCTAGATATTATTTGGTTTTCTTTGCTTTCTTAAAATTGGAAATCTGTGTGCAACTTTCCTATTAGTGCTTGAAACTAACTCTGACAATGCCATCATTACTGCAAGTTGCAAAAATGTTAATTGATGAGAAGGACATGTTTGTAATTCTTTGCTGTTATTTTAAACATGGTTGTTAAACTCACATTTTAACTCAAATTCGTGAGAAAATTGTGTTAAATCCATTTAAACTCGTTTTTGGGTATACTCATGAATATAACCTGATTTTACGAGTTTAGTCAAAAAAAAGAGAAAATGACATTTTTTTTCACCAAAATAAAACCATTTGGAATTAGGGTAACACTTTTCTTCCCTCTCTGCAAGTTGTGACACACCACATTTACAAGTGGGGCATCAAAATCATCACATTATCATTATATGATCTGGCTATTTAAAGTTTTAACTTTATTATTGAGCTTTATTTCATTATTATGGCTTTTTAAATATTATTTTTGTATGAGATAAACTCTTGTGAGTATACAATTCAAGTTTACGTTCACTCCACAACTATATGTAAACTCTGGAATTTAACAGCATTTGTTTTAAATGTGTTCTTGACAAGTCACTTTTACCTTTTTTAAGGATTATTACAAAGTGCTGGAGGTTGAGTATGATGCAACTGATGAAAATATCAAATTGAATTACCGACGACTTGCACTGGTTGGTAACCTACCCATTTTAGTGGCTCCAGCAATGGTTCTCTACACAATTTTTCTAATTGAATTTCTTTTCCACAAGTTTGACTTATTGTGTATGCATGATTCTACTAAATTTGATAGAAATGGCATCCTGACAAGCACAAAGGTGACAGTGACGTTACCGCAAAATTTCAGGAGATAAATGAAGCTTACAATGGTAAAAAATCTCATGCTTTTACTTTTTCCTTGTAAGCACATAATTTAACAAGCTTCATTCTTCTGCCTTCTATGATCACTCTTATTGTTACAGTTCCTTAAAATTGAATATTTATTTTTCTATCTTCAATGAAATCACAATGTAAAAATGATTAGAGTAAAAGGACAAGTCATTGTAAGCACAAAGATTGTGGTCCACTTATTGTCAAGCTTTCTGCTTTTCAGTTCCACTTGTTGCTGTACAATTTAAATATTTCATTAGTTATTACTTCTTTTATCCAGATGTTAATGTAACTTTGTAAACATGTAAACTTAATTTAACTCCTTGAGGTGGATGGAAAGTTTAGAAGAATGAAGGATTGAAATTTCATATTCAAGAACATGATGATAATAAAACTGAAACCCAAAAGAAATTTGGGTAAAACCCAAGTAATATAGCACGTTATATCTTTTCCTATCTGTTTAACATGAACATGTGATACTGAGAGTGATTTTTTATACATATAATATAAATCAACTATCAACTGTTTGAATTTATGAAAAATATAGTTTGTTAAATGCTGAAAGTTACAGGATTGTCAAGTTGACCATTACTGGCAAACCCAAAATTGATCATGTAATGGAAATTACTTTAGAGTTTAGACTTAATAAATTGGTCTGTAAGTGACACTTTGTGGATTTATTTACGCCTTAGTGCCACACAGTTTGACCTGGAGGTGTGTCTCTACTGCGTTATGGTTTAGAAAACAGCTAGCAGCTGCTAGTGAATGATAATCATGGTTTTTTGTTGATTATTGTCTTTCTTTGTTTTGTAATAGTTTTAAGTGATCCTGCCAAGCGTTTTGATTATGATTTAACTGGGATATGTGAGATTGAAAAGTATAGCTTGCAGGTATGCAACATAAGTATCATTTAAAGTTATTAATTATTTACTTAGATTTGTTTATCATGTATCCTCTCCTCTTGAATGATAACTGCCATACTTGCCTTTCATGGACTTGTCTCTTTGCTGTACAGGAATATCTTGCCAGATTTAAAGGCATGATTCTTACCTGCAATGGACTTGGCATCAACCAAACCGACAGATGGTATTTATTTTGAATTTTTCTTTTTCCCCTGTATCTCTCTGTTCTTTTATTCTGTGGTAGAGTTGGAATTCACTGGTCACAATGCCTACACAGCCTGCCAATCCATCAGAAATTTCTAAGCGTCTAGGACTAGATCTTGTTTGTGTTTCAAATGAAAACGTGCATTATAGGATAGAGAACTATATAATTGGTTGTTTCCACACAACCAGATGAACTTTGTTTTTTTCTCAAGCCTAGCATTCACTGCTGAGATTCTAAGGTCAAAACAGTCTTTTGTATGTCAATGAAAATTTTAGCCATTATGTGTGAACGTTAAGTGAGCCAACACAGCTAACAAAAAACTAGCATAGGATGTAATAATAAAAATGTACTAAAGGATTTTGATAAATTTGGACACCTCAGCTTTGTGATGATAATTTTTAATCCAGCATTCCAGCTCAATCTCAAACTACCTTAAACGTGAAATTGTTCAAGTCTTGATGATGTTTACAACTTTGCTTTGTTATCATGTGTGAATTCATGTCAGAGGGAAAGTTAGTGTTAGAGTTGTAGTTTTGTGGAGCCTGCCCACTGTCAGTGGACATTTATAATTTCTATTCAATGTCTGAAATGTTATGTTAGGAATCAGCTTAATGTGGATTTGAGGTTACAAGCATTGTCTACATAGTATTTTGAGCTATTCAATTCGACAGGAACTGCATTTGAACAATTTAGAACCCATAGGTCTACTTCTGTTGGATTTTGTCACGCAATTATGTCTTTAGGTCAAACACTTTGAAACTTCAACTTGAGATCCTTCCCCATTCCATTTTAACTCTTATAATTCCTATATTTCCTAACATAAAATCCGAAATCACTCTTTGATTTATTAATAAGCCTTGAAATCATCAATATGTTGAAGTTACTTTTTCGCACATGCTGTTCACAGCCTCTAGAACTAACTGTGGTCCTTGATTCTTTAGGCCCCCCAACTGAATCTATTATCTATTACTGTAAATGGACCTGCACTTATCTAATGTCAGTTTTATTTTTTTAAATTTACCTGGAATATCACCTAACCTAAATTTTAATCTTGTGCTATAATGCAGGTCACAACAATTGATTGAAAATTTTGAATCCCTAGATAAATAAGGTTTGTCCTTCCCTCTTTCAATTTATTTGGAAGTTACCTTGATTTTCAACACTGCACTACTTAATGTCTTTCTAAATTAGTCAATAAACATTTCTGACAGGGTTCTCAATATCAATTTCAGCCAGCGGAGTTATGAATATGAATATGCAAACGTGTCTATTTCCTTTAACAATTAGAGGGTACGAAATATGGGTCAGTCTAACCCTGCCCTTAAATTCCATCCCACCCGGTTTCAGTGAGATTTGAAACCTCCATATTTTGGGTACCCAATGATCAATTGCCAAAACATAAACAACCTGGTGTGATTGAATCATACTGTAATATACGCTACATCCATGTGTACGGTTTAGAACGATCTGTTATGAACCTTTACGCCCTTGTGCAAGATTTCTTCCATGCATCTTCCCTCTTAGTGTGTTTACCTAGTAGGTAATATGTTGCCATTTCCTTGTATATTTGATCTCACTTATCATGCTCCATTAACTGAATTGGTATATTAGTTACCGTCAGAATTCTGAAAGCGTGTTTATGCAGCATGCTAAAGTACTAAAGTAAGGAGTTTTTTTTCTAAGTATATGATAAAAAGTTATAAGTATAGTAATTTTTATTAAAAATTAAAGAATTTAGTATTATTCAATGTATTGTAGCACTAAACATTATAATTTTTAATAAAAATTTATTATATATAATTTTTTATCGTATAATGTTATAAATGTTATAATTTTTTCTTCAACTGAAAAGTAAAGAGCTTAAATGATTAAATGTTTTTTCACGGGCCTGTTACAAGTAAACAAAAGCGACTATCAAATATTTGTATATGAAAGGTAACGACACTGAACCTTGAAAAATGCAGCCCATCAATTTTAAAATAGTAAAGTTTCTGTCAAAAATTGGCATGTTGCCTACTTTCTTTTGTTATTGTCGTGTTATCCGCACCTACTACGACAAATGGCTACTAAAAAGAATTGCAGCGTTCAACTTTTGCTGTGGTGTCCTGTGTTACAGTATGAGCAGTTACTTCTTGCGCTGTATACCTGTAATATATGATCACATCACATGTATAACATTTTTTCTATCAAGAAAGCGCAAAATTACATTGAGAATTACATTAACTTTTCTTTTTTTTTGTCAACGAAAATTACAATAACAAGTGAAAATGGCAAGGATGTTACTACAACATTCCTCCCCCTTAAAGGCCAACTGCAAAAAACTTTCTTTAAAAAGCAAAAGTTGGGCCATTAGTCTTTGTTTCAGTCATTAGGGATGGGAATCTTCAAATATTGTTCAATTATTGTGGCCTGTCGTCATTCTCAATTATTTAAGAGGAGTTAAAATAATAAATAGGTGAGTGTTCATCGTTGTAGCCGTTAATTACATTGTCAAGATTCTACTGACATCAACGATACCACATTAATATATTTGTGCTTACAGCGTAAACAATTTAAAATAATAAAATATTGGGATTGGGAGATTCAATGACACGATTGTTGCCCTGGTTTTTCTTAATTAATCTAGTCAATTTATATTACTGAATTATACCAATATAGAAACTTTTCTTGTCATGTTTTCTTATTACATTTTAATTTATTTTTATATTTCTTTTGTTTGTAACAAGGATTATCATAGAATTGATAATTGAAAATTAATTTCTTTTTAGATTGAGAACTTGCCAAAGTAGATATAATCCCTCCATAATATAATTTTCTCATACACCTGGTTAGACATTAAATATAATCGAGATTATATTTATTAAGATTGTGTTAGGTAAGGCAATCTTATATCTATGAGCATTTAATTTTTTTGACTTGGTCAATAAAATAGCTAAGTTGTTTTGAGAACAAAAAAATAGAGATAATTAGTAATTTATGAACATTACTTGAAGTAGCTTTTAATATTAAAAGTTAGCTACCAATAATTTCTTATCATTTTCAGCCTTACTTCATATACATGAGAGAAAAGTTTGATCTTTGTTGATTTAATTATTTAATTAATTGATAAGAAATCAAGAGTATTTAATTATTTAGTTAAATTATTGATAAAAAAAAATTATATGAACAAGTAAAATGAGTAACATTTGAGAGTTTTTTTGCATATAAAATAAAAATAAATAAATAACTTGAAATATGTCTTATTTTAGTAAAAACTTAATATATATATATATATATATATATAAATGGTGGTACGACCACAAAACATAAAGGACTTTGCGACTTATGTTAGAGCCTTAAATAAAACATAAGTCGTTAAGAGTGATATATCATATAAAACATAAATTGCACTCTCGTTAAATAATTCATATATATATATATATATAGCATTTTAAATGAGAGAAGTTTGTATTATGAAAAGTGAAAAGTATTAATAATGATCATTGATTCAAATAATTGGTAAGAAAGAGAGAAAAGTAACCATTATTAATATCTTTCACTTTTTATAATAATAAATTTCTCTCACTTGAAATGTCCCTTATATATATATATGAAAATAATTTTTTTATACTAGTGTAAATCTAAAAATCTTACACTCAATCTCAATTTTTCATTTAACTTATATTTAATAGTTAATAAAATAATAAATTATACCTGTTAGATGTAAATTAAATAAAAGATTCAAATAAAATGTAAGAATTTTTAGATTTACGCTGATGTGAGAAAATCCTATACTATATATATATATATATATATATATCATATTTCAAGTTTTCACTAAAACAAAATATCTCAAAAATTACATTTTTTTTTTGTTTTAGTTGCAAAAAAAAATCCAATATTTAATCCTAATATTAGGGTTTATTTATAATAATAATACATATCTTTTTAGTCATTTAATACATTTGAGCTAGTTATTATTTTTAACTAATAGTTTTAATTCAATTAACTACCCAGTTATAAGATTTTATCTAGTTTCATAGCTATATATGTTTTGAGCTTTTAAGTAATTTTATCAAACAAAGTCATATATTAATTTTTTAATTAACATGTTATTATATATTCTTTAGATGGCTAGATTTTTTAACCTATTATTCACACATTAACACGCTTATAATTTTTTATATTATATAAATAATCCTTAATTTCTCTTGTTTAAAATTTTAAATTAATTATACATATCAAGGTAAAAATACAGAATCGAGAATAGCAATGTACACTCTCGTTTATTGTTTTAACAACCTAAATTTGGGAATGAGCGCATACTCTTCTCTGTACGACTACCATCAAAGACAAACTGGAAGCGAAGGTAAGGCATTCCTGAATCTGGGCCTTTATTATGCGGTACCGTAGACGTTACCCTGTTCATTTTTGGAAGGTACTATAAACAATTAAGAGGTTAAACTCACACCACACCTCTACCCAAGCCAACCCAATAATTAAGCTAATCACGTCTAGCCATTTTAAGAGAGAGAAATGCCTTTTAGCAAGGAAAAATGATACAAAAAGCTTGTTAAAAAATACTAATATAACCAATAAATTAATTATCTACTGATACATTAACACTAGTTAGCATTTTTCAAAATAAAAACATGGTTAAAATAATCAGCTCTTTAGATCATTTCATCGGTTAACAGTCCAGGCACGGAATCTAAAGTCACAAACCTTCAAGTTTCTTAAAACGTATTAGTATATTCTTAAAAGTTTGTTCCATAGGAAACTTAGTTGCCATAACTTGGCAATCAATTCAAGCATTCAGGTACATAAAACACTAAAATCCCTCATGTAACTCCCTCTCTGTTTCTCCTATTGGCTACTCAAAATCGTCACCAATTACATTCAACACCCACCCATTCTCAAATTTTAAATTCATTTCCAACTTTGACTAGAAAAATATTTACGGCGGCTAGCAAGGAAGGAAAGAGGAGAATCTGTTTCCCATCGTACTACAAGAGAGAGACACAGATCCTCGTATTACCATTCCTATTTAAAAACAGACAAGAAAGCGAAAGAAAACCACTATAATTCAAATATCTTTTCCATTTTGCATAATGTGAAGTACAACATAACATGTACTAAGAAAAATAAAAAGGGCAATTTGCATCATAATAGAACACAGAATCTAATATAAATATGCAAAATAGTAACCACACATACCACAAAACTAAAAGAAAACCCTTCCTATTTTTATTTTTTATTTTAAATTTTGTGTGGGTGTGTGTGGGAAGAGAAAGAGAGATAGATTTGATCGAAATGAATGAGTCTCAATTGGAAAGGAACAAGCGAATGTGATCGAGGAAGGTCAAATGTTGAGGCCTATCTTTGCGCTTCACATAACCTAACGCTTCTTTCTCCGAATAACATCTAAACCCTCGCTTTCCGTTCTTCTTCCACAGCTCCATCGCGTAATTCCTATGCGCATAATACGCCTCCGCGCACGTTAGCCCCGCCGCCGCCTCCTCTCCATCGCCCCCCTCTTCCCCCTCGCCGTCGCCGGCGGGGACAAGCTTGATCGGGAGACGCTCGTAATGGGCGCGTGTGGTGCCCTCAAGCTCATCCATGCGTGCGAGACCGCGGGAGGAGACAGAGTAGAGCTCGCCGTGAACCCGGTTACCCGACCCGGGAAGGTTGAGGAGGAAGGGAACACGGTAGGGCCCACAAACAAGAGGGTAATTATGGGCGGTGCGGTAGTTTCCGACGAAGGAGGCGTCGCCGGAGCGGATGAGGTCTTGCAGAAGGGGGTGGTTGGAGAAGCCTCTTTTTAAGGTTCCATAGGTGAATATTAGGGTTCCTTCTCCATGATTCCCAACGTTTCTTTCGGCTACCATTGTTTCTGGATTGGGGCGTTGGGCATGGAATTGGAATCACACAAAAAAAGAGAGAGAGTGTGGTATGAAGGAAGCTCTTGGGTTCAATGGAAGGTGCAAAACTTGCACTTTTTATAATGGGATTCAAGAGATTTTTCTCCTTTTTTTAATTTTTTATTCAATTGTAGTGCCTTTCAAATAAAGCGTCCTTTTTGTTTTTTTATAAAAATAAAATTAAAAATGCACCTTTCGTTGAGGGGGGAGTGGAATTACTCATTAGTACTTGTGTTTGACCACTGTTGTAAAATTAAATGTACCTTATTAACTGGTCTGTATTTTTAATAAGATTTCGGTGGTGTTAAATTGTTTCAGACCTTTTATTTAGTCTGAAGATTTGTATTCAAATTTTAATTTGTGTATTTTTTTTTTAGTTAATACAAGAATTAATTTTATACCTTTGTTCTAGAGTATGAGAATATTCGGTAATCTCTGGCTTAGAAAAAAAAAACTTGATAAATTCAAGTAAATTAATTGAAAGAAAATTATCCAAAAAATATTAAAAGAAAAGAAATAATCTCAAACGCCTTTGCCTTTGTTTAGAAATCAATAATTAAAATTTTTTATAAAAAATATATTGTTTGTCATTTTTATTTTTGTTTCATTTTAAGGGGATGAATTGATATTTCGTTTTAAGATAAAGAAAATCCTTAAAACATAGTTATAAAAAAAAATTGGTTAACTGAGTCTTTAAAATTAAGTTTAAATATTCATAAATAAAAAATTTAATAAAAAATACAATTATTATATTAAAATTATAAAAATATAATAAAAAAATTTTAATAAAATTTTATTATTATTAACTACTTATCTTTAAAATTAAGATTAACAAAAATTCATAAAAATTTATATTTATTTTATTAAAATAAAATAATAATTTAAACACGTAACTTGTGGTATACAAAATATGTCTTTCTCCTTTTAATTAACCCCTTAAAGTTTAATTTAACACGCGTTACGCATTAAATGTCAACAGGCTAGCATTAAACTATGTAAATTGCTTATCATTTGAATTAACAAGCATTTAGTGTGTTACTTTTAACACAAGTAAAATGATAGGTTTTAAATTATATGTTTGCTAATGCTCAACTTCGTAGAATGCGTTGGACATAATCAAAATAATTAATTATAACTTAATTTATATGAACGGTAAAGAAATTTTAAAATTTTAATAATTGTCTAAATCTTAGGTGCTGTATGTCATAATCTTTTACTTTATTTGTCATGTATCAACATGAATCAGTTGTAACCTGCAACAATGTATTATTAACTGATGGGCAGAGAAAAAGAAATGAAAAATGGAGAGTTAGCGTGGGTGAGTGCGTGAACCGAGAAGATGGAATCACGCTGATAGGCATAGGCATGCTTGAAGAAGGAATCACATTCATGGCCAAGTCCAAGAGAAAGACCAAAGAGGGTAAAAAGGTACTCAAACATTAATTTGAGAAGCACACCCAATTTTTCTTTTATCTACTTCGTTACTCTGCTTCTGATAAGAGGCAGCACAATAATCGTACTGATCAAACACTGCAGCTGAGTGTTCACGCCACACCAGCCTATTAGCAGCAAGCTATAAACCATTTCAACAGGAGTAACTTTAATAATATAATAAAATTATATTTATAAATGTAAACATGTTATATATTTTCACACGAAAATAATTATTATAATTAATTTTATATTAATAAATAGGAGAGTTAGTAATTTATTTGTTTAAAAATTATATATTTTTATTTTTAAGATATTCAAAAAATTACCATCTTTAATTCAAAGAGTATATATAATATTTTTTCAAATTTATAATAAACAATTTCATTTTAAATTATTTTAAAAAATTGAGTTGAAAATGATTAAATATACATAGTTAAATACTTCAATTTTTTATTTAAAGTTTATTTGAAGTTAATTTTTAAGTAAAAAAATAATTATCTTAGAAATTTTAAAAAATAAAAATAAATTTAAATTCATGTTATTGATTCTTCCGTTGTAAGATATTTTTTTATTATTTTTTTATCTTTTAAATAAATTTTGTATCCATTTATTGAAGGAGTGTAAAACAATAAATTATGTAAAAGCAAAAGGTGGCTAACGTGGCAATGGTTAAAAATAAGAGAAGGAGGCACGGCTTTTGAAGGTGCAAATGGTGGTGACGTTTACAGGGCTTTTGCATTGAGTACAAAACCGTACCGAAAGATCCAAACGAGAAGGGCAGAGAGATGATGATGAAAAAGAGGAATCCGAAAGGCAAATACAGAAGAGCCGTACACGTGTGAATAATGAGGGAGAATCCGTACCTGTACTTTTCCGCACGTACCATGTTACGACAAAAAGCACGCTTCTCTATGATGCCAATTTCCCCATTCTGCATTCATGGATGCTGTCAGTGCTTTGCAGCTTGCCATCAGTTTCCTTGCCATCTTTCAAAACAAAAGAGGTCGGTTGCTTTGTCAGTCTCACCACTTTATTACCAATTCTTTTTCTTTTCATGCTTTTCACACAAAACAAAATCATTCCCCTTATTTTATATATCCGTACACGCAACATCAAACAGTTTACTCACCTATTTATCTATTTATTTTTTAATAAATATACAGATTGATATTTTAAAGATACTTTTATTTTTTTAATATTTTGCAGCTTTTTTTATGTGATAGATCACAATATAAAATTTTTAAAAAGTTATCAAATAAAAAAATAACTACAAGAAACGATGTGCTATAAGAATTTTGAAAAAAATATTATATATATGTGTGTGGTTAAATCAAAAAGATACTGTTAATTGATATTATGTAAATTAGATAGAAGAAACACTACATGTAAGTAAATTTAACACATAAGTATTAGCATGTTGTAATTTCAAATAATTTTATATCTGAAACATTAAATGATATGAAGAAAAGAGGTTCGAGATTAACACGAAACACCAAACTAAACTGATCTTTTCTTGCTCACACTACAATCTTATCACTGCATGATTGGTATTAACCACCCATGATTGATTACTTTTATTTCATCATTTTTTCGCACGATATTTTTCGCACTTAATAGAAGTGCTCATTCCAAAAAGGAGCTTTTTTATTTAATTAATACATTTTAAAAAACAAATTTTTAAAATATTATTTTTTTAAACTAATTCTTTATCTGGGCTTTTTTTTTTTGCCAGGTCAGAGATAATATCGGCCATGTACCGACGATAGTCTTTTTTTTTTATAATTTTTTATTACTCTATCGTCCACATACGTCCGATACTAAGGCATAATCTGACACGTGGATATTTAAAACGGCAGAAAAAATAAAAAGAAAAACAAATATTAGTATCGCCCAATTTTTGACGATAGCAATTTGAAATGGACGGTTAGGGATGAAGTTCGACACGTGTCGAGATCGTATGTGTATCGGCTCTGATACAGCGACAAGGCTATCGTCGCATCTGGGGCGATACTCTTTGCGATGTTGCCACGTGGCATATCGGGAACCGACGCCGCTCATGGCTTCTTCCCTTCCTCTTCCTCAGTTTTCTCCATTAGCGCCGGAACGCAAGGTGATTTTGAGCAGAATTTGTGAAGAAATAGGCTTTCGTTTGCAATCTTGTGTGAAAAATTGGAAGGTAAGAATTAATTTATTTAATTGATAATATTTTTGTTGAGTTTCATTTAGAAAAGAATAATCGATTTAAATTTTAATTTTAGGATTTTCGTGTGGTGAAGTGGAATAGATATTTTTGCTGGCATTTGAGGTTAGTGCTGAATAGATAATACAGTTTGATGTATTTTTTCTAATTTTTTTTTTATTTTTAGTATGTTTTTTTGTATTTATTATGAATATTGTGAATGTAAGTATAGAAAAATATTGTACATTTGGCTGGAACCGTAAAATAAGGCAAAAATAATATATAGAAAATATTTTTTAGTATTTTTTAAGTGTAATTTGTTTTTAAAGTGTAAATTATAGATAAATTTTATTTTGTTGACTGTAATTAATATAGTTGTTAATTTATGATGAAAAAGATTATATGTAGATGTTGGTTGATATTTAAAAAATATATGTATAAGTAGTGTAATTTTGTTATTAGTTGTAATATTATGTTGTAGAAAAAAAAATATAAATGTTATGATAATTAAAATATAAAAAATATATAAATTCAGTTAAATCCAGTTAAATCATAAAATATTAAATTACACAATTAGTTATATTAATAAAGATAATAAGATAAAATATTATTAACTAAAAAGTATGAAAAATTATATTATATTAGTTGTAATATTATGTTTAGGGAAAAAAAATATAAACGTTATCATAGTAAAAACATAAAGAAATATTAAAATTTGGTTATATCATAAAATATTAAATTTAAAATACACAATTAGTTATATTTATAAGATAACAAGATAATTAGATTTAGAAATAAAATTGTTATTAAGTAAAAAGTTTGAAAATCCTTGACATATTATTAGTTGTAATATTATGTTTATGAAAAAAAATATAAATGTTATGATAGTTAAAATAAGAAGAATATATAAATTTAGTTGTGTATTTTAAAATTAATTTTAAAATACACAATTAGTTATTGGTAAAAGATAATAAGTATAACATGAAATGTTGCTGTTATTGGCTTGATGCATAATTATTAATTTGAAACTTTTCATTAAAATTTAATATATAGATATATGATAGAAATTTGTATACTGATATTTTATGGGAGACATAAAAATAAAATACATAATTATTGTGTTAAACCTATTATATTATTATCAATTTTGAAAAAAACTTTAAAGGGTTATATAATTGGGATTATATATTTTTTCATTTTATATTCTATTTATATTCTGTTAAATTTAATTTAGAAATTGTATTAGTAGTAGTTTAACAAATTGTATACATGAATAATTGTTTTTAATGTGTTTATAATGATATTAATGTGTTTATAATCATATTTAATTAGTAATATATATTTTTATTTATTTAGATGGCTTCATCTTCATCTCAAGGTATGATAATTAATCCTGGGCCAGAGGATTCATCTTTGTTGCATTTTCAAAGTATACATGTCTCTG